CGGCCTTGCCTGATCTGGGGTGGGCTGGGGGGGGTCGGGGCTCCCCTGGCGTGGGGGCCCGCCCTTGGCCTAGGGTTCTGCGGACTCGGGCTTGTGGCCTTTGCTCATTTCTGGGCGGGTGGTGTGTCCCTGGGCCTGGGGGCCCGTTGTCTCCTCTCCTCGCCTGGGCCCTCTTCGGCAGAGGTGAGGCTCCCGCTGCTTCCCCCTGCCAGCTCTCTCACGGTGGGGGCATTCGGGAGTCTCTGGGGCGCATGACCGGTGCTGTCGGGGTAGGTTTTGGTGCTCCTCCTTGGGGGTGCTTGACTGGGGGGGCTGGGCCCCTGTCCGGGGATGAATCGGCCTCGGGGGCTGCTGTCACTGGCTGCACTGTAGGGAGGGATGCCTCTGGCTGGGCTGGGGGACCGTTGGCCTGGTTCTCCCGCGTATCGCTCCCTGGCGGTAGCGAGCTTCCCGGCACGGCTTTCTGCTGTTCTTCCTTGGGGCGGGGTACAGCTTCCCCCTGGACATGCGGTCTGGGGTCCTTTGCGCTTTGGGGGGTCGCAGGGTGTCCTGGCTTCTGGGGGTGGGGGTCTGCGGTGGGATTGTGGGACGATTATCGATGCATCTTGATGTATTATACTTTTTCCCTGGGCAGGGTCTCTGGATGGCTGCTGGGCGTTTAGTTTGTGCGTTGGAGTCCGGGGGAGGCATCTCCTTGTTGGCTTGGAGGGACCTGTTTGCGTTCCTGTTTTGCTTCGTTGGCCTCGGATCCGTGCTTGCCCATTTCTCTGTCGGCCAGTTGTTGGACCCCTCTGGATACTGAGGTATATAGTTAGTTTTTGGGATGTGCAGTGTGGGTGCGGGGCAGGGCTGTGCTCCGGTTTGTTCTGGGTTTGTGCCTGGAGTTCTCGGCCCTTGATGGATGGGTGGGTTGTTGGTGGCATGCAGCTGAGCTAGTTGATTTTGCCTCGTTGCTGGTTTGGCTGGTGTTGCATGGCGGCCGGGGGCGCGCTGGGCATGGGGGATGTCGGCTGGCGCCGGCGGCCTTAGTTTTTTCCGGCAGTTGGGGGGACGGTGGACTTTTATTGGCGGGTGCACGGTGACCTGTGCGGCGCGTTTGCTGCCGGGCTGGGCTTGCTGCTGGTGTCTCTCTCCGCTGGCTTTCGCTGTCGTGTTGTTCCGTTTGCTCTCTCTCATTTGCCCGACCTCGCACGCGGGATTCGCGGGGGGCTGCTGGGCATGGGTGTCGCCGTGCTCGCGCAGTGTGCGCGTTGGGCTCGTCACTTGTGCATTGGTGTTGATGATTGCGTGGCATTTGGGCATTGTGGTTGTTTGCTGCGCGGCGGTGGGGTGCTGGATGGGGGAGGCCACTGGTCTATGTTGTGTCTGCGACGCGGTCGGTCCGGGCGCTGCTCTTCCTCTTTTGCGTTCCGTCGGCATTACGTTGTCAACTGGCATTTGGGTCGGGGTCTTCTGCGTTTGCATCGCGGTGCATCTGGGAGTCTTTGTTTTTTTTTGATTTGATTTATTCTTTTTCTTTCTTCCACCCCTATTGGCTACTGGGGTTCTTGCCTGCCTGTTACAGTCGTGGCGTCCCACTCTCTCTAACAACTACATTCTTTAACAGGCTTATGCGCACACACATGGACATACACACACATACAGACACATTCACCCACACGCACACAGACACACACAGACACAAACAAACTTAGGTTGTCCCTGGTAGAATTATTCCTGATGCCTTTCTTTCAGTTACTTATTTAAATTAATTATTATTCCAGCTCTCGTGGCTGTGTTGTGTTGCTTATTTAGTGTGTGTGACTGTTTCTTGTTTTCATTGTTCTCTTAGTTGTCTTAATATGTCATTAATATGTCAGCTGTTTATTGCTGCTGTTCGGCTGGTTTTCTTTTACTATTATTATTATTTTTATTGTTTTTTTTGTTTGTGTTTGTTTGTTGTTGTTTTTCTCCTCCCCAAGCCCCCCTCTCTGTTCTCTTGCAGGTTTCGTTGCTTTCTGCAATTGGTGTTTCCCACAGCTTTTCCCTGTTGTCCCCACCCTCCATCCCCCTTTCCCCCTTCTCTTGCAGGTGTTGTCCTTTCTCTGTGCTGTCTGTTTGTGCCCCCCCATCCCCGTGTCTGCCCCCCTGTCCGGCCCGGTGACAAATCAATACATAATTAAATAAATAATAAAACAGACAAAGGAGTATTTTAATACTCTCTTGTTAAAGTAAAATCTGTCTGGCACAATATGGTATCCAGGTCATTATACTCTATACCAGGCTGCTGGGCAGGACAGGTTTAAAAAAAAAATAATAATAATAATTTTGTATTAAAAAGGTTGTCTAAAAGGTAGACTGGAGGCTTAAAGGTTGCTCTCACTGTTCACTTCAAAGGGCAGATTAGACCCCCGTCTTACATTTTCACGCAAGCCCACCAATTTGTGCATTTTGACAGTGTTGTGTGTGTGTGCGCGTGTGTTTTAGAACCTTGGCTATGTGGTCAGGCGTAACAAAACAATATGGTTACAAAACTGAAAGGACTGCTCTGATGAAGAAAATGCTGCAGCTAATATAGCCTCTGAAGTGGTTTCACATTTTTACCAGGATTAGTAAATGCACCTCAACAAAAAATACATGTTTAACTGTTAAACTCCCTCATTAGCCGCAGAAAACGCTACAGTGCATTTATATTTAGCATTGCTCAGCAATAACCAATCCCCTGCTGTCAACACGGATTCTTCTCCTGTTGAGCTCTTGGCTAAACACAAGATAGCCTCCCTTTGTTAGGATTTATTCAGGTTTTGGTTCTACTTTGTACCAGATAGTTTATTGAAGCAAAGGTCCTCAAAAAGCAGCAGGGTTTATGGGAAATGTGTTCTTAATTTTGAGAAACAATAACATTCACAATACTGGACACAATGTGTTTTTTTGTACTGAACATGTGTCTTCATATGTGGTAGGTTGGATGTGTGAAATGTCTCACCCCCTTTCCTGTACTTGCTGCTCAGCCATATCCTTCAGATTGCATGCTCATTTATCTACCCACCTACACGCACACATTCTCCCTCAGTTTATCTGTCTTTCTCCATTTTTTCTCTCTCTGCTGCCTGGAGATAAAGAAGAGCTGATTTAGCAAGCTACATTGTGTACAAATGGTTAAATGATTTAGATTTCTATACCGTGGCCAATAGATTTCTGTATTCCCCACATCCTGCTACAATCGCTTGTCAGATCAACAATTGTTGTTTATTTTGTTACGTCACTGCGCGTGTCTTTGGGCTTGTGTGTTGGTCTCAGGAGGGTGTTAATAGAGATGTGTTGGGAAGAAGGCTGGCATCTCTGCCCCCTCTCATGTTGGCACTTGGCGTCACAGGGGTTCGGTGTTCTGCCCTTTATCACCCAACACACACGCACACACACACAGGGCGCAAGGCTGTTCTCACACCTCTCTCCCTGCTATGTGTGAGACACTGCTTTAAGATGTCCTTGCTTTTGTCACCTAATGAAGGCCAGCAAACAGAGGCAGGCATCCAAATGGGTGTCTCATCCCACACAGCTACTGTCGTCCACCTCAGCTGGATCATCAGCTACATATTTCCCCTTAAAATAATTTTTTTTTAAACTGAACAGATGTCTCCATAGGCAATATTGCAGCAGTAGCGCAGCAAACATGCAGTAAATTGTGTTCTTTTTTTCCTTTTTGTATTGGCTGCATTTGCACATCAGTGAGTAATGAGTAATGGCAGACAAGATGAGTGTATTTACATTAGAATGATTATGCTGATAATGCCACAATTTAGTGTATTAGCATAAACACATCATATCTTTATTTTGTGAAAATAGCATTAGCATTCATGCCGAGAGGCAAATGTAAAGCCTTAATCCTGTTTACACTTTTGCTGTATGTGTTTACATGTCTGTATATGTCATTTATGTTTTAATATACAGCACACCATTATTTTGTGTGCACAGGGATGTTTGTGACTGGAATACAAATTAGTAATTTATACTTTTAAGACACAAAACAGTGCAGCTCTCTGGTTTTATTCCAGGTTTGTTCTGTTTTATTATGTGAATGTAGTGCACTCTTTTTCCCAGCAGAGAGAGCTCAAGCTAGGGACCACTGCTGCCATGCCCTGCTCTGTGCTTCCACGTACTGTACATTAAGTTGCAGGGCTTGGTGTGTGCGTGTGCCATGAGTGTATTGTTTTTTCCTTTGGCTCATTTGCTGCAGTTCTATAGTGTTGTTACAAAAATGAAAAATCTATTAGGATTTTGCCTTCTTTTGTTGCAAACAAATGTCTGTCAGGGCCTCATTTAAAGGCTGTGTGTTGTACAGTAGTTGGCGTGTTCAGATCCTTCTGCAATGTTAGAGAAAAACAGGCTGCAGTGGCTGTTGCAGGGCTAATGGAGGATACTCAGAATAGAACCTTTTGCATGATAGAGTGTAAGGTGTCAGTAGTTTTTGCATTGCCATTTATTATTGCAAAATAAATGTAATAGTTTTTTTTATAACAATCTTTTTTGATGCAAAGAACTGCAACACAACATGGTTGGAAGGAAACACACTGTGGCGCTCTCTCTCTCTCTTCCTCTCTCTCTCTTTGTCTCTATGTGATGGACTGTGATGGTCTGACATATGTTCTCATGGGACCCTTCACAAGTCAACTCACTGGAAGGAACACTTTAGGAAGGTCACACACACACATATGCACACACCTTAAGCGATGTTAGAAACCGCATGTGATTTGAAGCGAGTGGCACTCAACTGATGTAGACGACTCTCTGCTTAAAATATGACCGATCTTTTCACCTGAATGATTTGCCCTTCACACTGGAGTGCACTTGATGATGGCTTCAGTGTCTTAGACTTGTGATTTTGGTTCATTAGAGGTACTTTTCCCAAAGCCTTCTATACTGAGCCTTTAAGTGTTGCTGATAATTTCAGTTTTTGCTGCATCATGTCAAGAGTCAAAATGGATCCCACATATTCTCTTTCTACACCTCTGTCTCCACAGTACACTAGAAACAACCTTCGACACCACGGTAACCACTGAGGTCAATGGGCGTAGTCTACCAGCCCTCACCACACGCTCCTCCCCCATGGCCTGGCGTCTGGGCCAATCACAAACCCCACGTCTCCAGGCAGGCGACGCCCCCTCAATGCCTAGCAGCTACGCTGCGCCCAGGGCGAGCACGACGAGCGCTGGCACTACCACAGGCCGCTACAGTGGGCACTCGGACCCCTCCAGGTTTGTGTACAGCGCCCCCCTGAGGAGAGCAGCAGCGGCAGCAGGGGCTAGGGGGGCGGAGCAAGGGGAGAAGGGAGGAGGAGGAGGGCTGGAAGGAGGGAAGCAGATGGAGGTGGCAGGGTACATGAGTGATGGGGACATCCTAGGGAAGAACGGCCGGATGGATGAGATCACTAGCGGGTAGGATGTCTAATGCTAAGTAATGCTAAGCATGTTAGCTTCCTCTGATGCGCTTAAAAGTTCCTACTTTAAAGGCTGAATCAATGATTTGATAATTACAGTTATATATTCATATATAATAAAAAGTTGGACTTGAGATGAGAAATTTGCATTTTGTGTGTTTCTCAGCTAATCAAGCCTTAAAATAGGCCGTCTAACCCTGTGTTAAAGGTTCCCTATGGAGTCGAACAAAAGTTATGTTAACATTCATTTAACTCACCCAAACGCATTGCGTATATTTGTGTATATTTGTCTAACAGATGTGTTAAGTGCATGTCCTTCCTCAAAAGACATTTTCAAAACTAATTTTTCAAATACTTAAAATTGTGCACTGTTTACATGCATACTTGCGTGTCTTCTTCTATGTTGTCATTTCTTGGTGCATTACATCCACCAGCTGTTGATCAGAGGAACAGCAAGCCAATTGTATCGCCCTCACGCTTACACGCATGCACGTAAATCCTTGCGTGTGTGCATGATGCAAACAAAACGCTGCTAGTGGCCAAGAATTCCACAGGGTACCTAAAGTTCAAATAAACACTCAACATAGCAAGCTTTAAATCTTATTGTCTGACGTGGACCATAAATTAAAATAGTTGCCAATCAATGTGTGAGTAATAGGAGGCAACAAACCTTTATTTTTGAATGTTAGTTGATGGACCTTGAGAAAGCTAGTCAGAATTTATTTTAAGAGTTTATTTTTGTGAACTCTGAAATTAAAAATACTTAGATTGTTAGACCATAGGAGAAAATGTACCTACCAATTTCATATGTCATATGGTAACTTTAGCTAATATTTTTTTTGGTGAACGATCTAAAATTATAAGGCGAGAGTTAGCGTTTGCGGAAGACAGCTACAAGCTTGGATTTGGTTTGATTAAGGTTAGGGTAAGTAGTTGTTCATGGATGGGTATTATCTACCACCTGAACTCATCCTTATGCTGTGCTGTGCTCTGCTGTGCTTTATTGTTTGACTTAGAAGACATCAGCTTTAGTATAGACTTGCCTGCTACATCATTTATGCTAACTAATTTGCTACTTAAAAGGACATTTTTTTGAAGGACTATAAATAAATACAAGTGACATATTTCCATTCAGTGTCGCAATGCATACTGTGTTTCAAAACTCAGGGTTAGCTGTGTATTCATACAGCCACCAAGGCCTCACCAATCTTTCTGTATACATTAATACAAATAGCCTGCTGACATCCACCACTATCATAGGTTAGTCATGCCATGAAAAGGAAGGTTCAAATAATACATTTTGCCGAACCTTGAGGGCACTCGAGACACTGACAGATTACATGGAAGAAAAAAATATAAGTCATGACGTCTCCACATGACGACAATGTATGTGCGGGCCTCTTACCTTTAGTCATTGAAAAGCATTAAATGCCTAGAGCAGGTGGGAGCGGCTGTTGGGAAAGCAATTCACATTCCACGCACACACAAACACACAGTCCCACTCCCACTTGGCATCAGTGCATTTACCGAAAAGAGTTGCGGGGGCAGGGCAAACTGTGAGGGGGAGTTGGGCAAGGAGTGATGGGGTAAAGCATCCGTAGGATTAAAGATGTGTCAGAACAGAAAATGTAACAACACGTCGGGAGGGAAAGGTGATTAGCTAAATTATTAGCTTAATTAGCTCAACACTAATGATCCCCATGTCCTATCAGCCGTGTCTGATAGCTTTCTGCCAGTAACCTCAGATGCTACCACTTACTGACTGCCACGTACACATAAAGATACACAAACCCATTCGAACATGCACCTTTTTTGTGAGTTCAAAAAATGCAAATGCAGTCTCAACAGTTCTCATTAATCATTATATCCATCAAGTCACTGGATTTTCTCGACTGGTTTAGTTGATTTAATCTGTTGCTTTTCGTTGATTAACAAAATGAAAATACTGAATTACTCAGACTTTTTATGCCAGGTTGAGGTCAGACATTGACTTCCTCTAATTAATTCTCCTCTCACAGATACCTTACAGACGGCGGCCTCCATCTGTATGCGCGGAACGCAGGCCGAGCCTCAGACGTGGCTTCTTCTCGAGAAATATCCCAGAGAGGGAGCAAAGAGGTGCAGGGCGACATAGACAGGTAAGCACGGAGTCTGACAATCATACGGTGCAGCTTGCTTTCGCTGATGTGTGTTTGATATGCAGAAGGTGTGGACTGCACCCAGATCTGGTTGCAGTTCCACAGTTTTGAGATTCATGCAAGAACACGCTGGATTTATCTAAGTTTGCATACAGTGTCTATACGTTCCACATTTCAGTTTGGATTCTCGGCATTTAGCTGGGGTTCTTCAGCTTGTAATGAGTTCAACAGCTTCAGCGGCTTTGCTTGTTGCCATAAACTTTCAGGTGGATGTTTGCAAGGGCAAATCCACCAGACTGTGCTTTTGCAGCCAGTGATGCGTGTGCCTGAGAAAAGCAGTACGCTGTGGTGAGAAAGGTGGAAAGGTTTAAACCGCATCAGCTTTCCCAAGCAGAAACTGCAGGCACATCCTCTAAGAGCCAATTGAATTGAGTTGATGTAACTTCCCGGTAAAGTATTCACCTTTTGACTGCTACCTAGGTAACAACTAAGCACTCAAACAAGGAGAAGTAACATTAGCATTTCATTTAAACAAAGTGGTACGTTTGGTATGCAAATTTAGAATTATCTACATGTGTATATCTTGTTTTTTGAAATGACAACGTGAAAGCTCGATGGTTTTGTTTACATTGCTAATTTGCACCTGCAAATATTGCCACAATGTGGGACCCTCCCTGCGCTTGCACAGAGGATTTAACGAATGTCCGCTAATCTCTGTAAAGTAGCTCTAGAGTACTAACATTACACAGAACTAATCATAAGGTGAACAGGGGTCAGGACCTGATTTTATTCACATGGAAAAGAACGGAGAAGAAATAGGAGAGAAAAAAATACAGTTGTCATTGTTTTCAGTTGATTGTACAAGGTTACGAGGGTATAAAGATAAGACACAAGACAGGGAAATGACTCAGTACCGAAAAGGTGACGGGTAAAGTGCTTTCAACCTGCAATAGATAACATGGAGCAAATATACAGTCTCGGCTCTGAATCAAATTTGTCTTAGTTGCTCATAAAATTCAAATATTCAAAAAGCATCAAGCTTAAGTTAAAAGTAGGAAGTTCATGTCCTTCAGAGGTGAAAGTCAGGGCACCCCCCGCCACACACACACACACACACACACACACACACTGCTGGAACATCCTAGACTAAATGAGGTGAAAAGGACAGGCGTGTTATCGATTTAAAGCTGTCAAGCTAAGACTGTGATGACAGGCCTTCAGAGAGGCTGCTGGGAATCGACTGATGCGGTGACATTTCCCAGTGTGGCAACTTCTGCCAAGACCTTAATGAGTGGCAGTGTTTAGAGGAGTGGGAGGCTTGAAAAGCAATCAGATATGGCTCTCAAGAATTAGTTGGCTTTTGTTATAATGCTTTAAATCACTTAAGTGCTGCAAAAAGACACTCTTGGCCAACCTGACAGCTCTCAACAAGATTGTAGTAACTCTAAAAGATTTACATAAAGCCACAATATTTTGTTAGATTGTTGTGTGGACTTCAGTTTAAGGATTCTGTTCGAGGAAAAGCGAATGAGTTTAATGCGCATGGGTACAAATGTAAACAGAATGAAGTACGACTTGCAGACATGCTGGTGATGGTATGCTTCCTGCTGTATTTGTGTCTCTGTTTTTGTTACCCGCATATATAATCCTGCTGTTTCTGTGTTAACGTGCTTGTTCTCACAGCCAGTCAAGCCAGTCAGCCGGGGGGGGTGGAGGCCGATCATATCTGTGATCGGCTGAGTGTCAAAACATTGCTCGACCTGACCAGAGGTTCAGAATAGGCGATTAACCTGCCCCCTGTCAGTCTCAAACTGATCTGCCTGTCAGACTTTGACACTCAGGCAAAGGGATGGATAGGATAAGAATAAATATGAATCCCGTGAACTGTCTCTTCCAATCGCCAAGTCTTAGCTTCACCCTGTTTATATATCTGTATTTGAATATTTTGCCTAAAGTGTCTCTCACCTTGCCTTGACATAAATCCTAAAATTGCAGCATTTCCAGGCTAAAGTCTGTGTTAGCGCTTTGGGCCTCAGGGGCGATAAGGAAATATTGATGCCTGCTTCCCCTTAAGGTGCCTGCAGGCAAGAAACTCCCGATTGGATCTGAATTTGAACTCTGGAACCCTGTTTTCCTTCCTTCCACTCTCCATTTTCCTTTTCAAAACTATATGACTGTACACATACACACACACACACACACACACACAAGTACACATAGCTTTAATGCTTTCCCCTGCCTCCCTCTGATGTGTGATTGTCAGAAGCTGAGCTGTCACTTCCCACTGACATGCGACAAAGCTTGGGGAGGGGATTCATTTCCGAAGCTATTGCTCACAAGGCTTTACACCTCAGCCCAGCTTTAGCTACCTCCATAGGCTCTGCCTTCCGTGACTGGTTCCTCCTTTATCCCATAGCATTCGTCTTCTCTTCCACATAACCCCCTGGCTTTACGTGAAATGAGTAGCGGATAAGGCCCAAGTTCAAACCATCTGTTTGCAGACTTTGAGGAACTTTTCATCTCCTCTAATGTAAATGCTGGCATTCTAGGAACAACACATACTAGCAAAGTATTTATTCCTAGACTGTAAGTGAGTCAAATGGAGAATGTGTGCTTTCTCCTGCCCTGGTGTTAACTATGTCTTTTATATTTAGCCATCTTTATGATCACTGTAAACGAACCAGAATTGGAATTGAGCCCTTTCAACAAATTTTCTACTGCTTCTTTTAGGTAGCATCATAGTAAAATTTGTTTTGGCACGTCTGCTCAATAGCTTTATTTTGACTCCCTTATCCACGAGAAAATGTTGGCGGAATACAAGGAATAGTGCAGTAGTTGACTAAAGGGAAAAAGGCTGTTATGATGTACTGTATCTTCAATTGGTGATATTCAGCAGTGATTCAGAAGTTGTAATTAATATTTTTGTTGTACTCATTAACAGACACCTAATTTAAATATTCATTTCCTTTAATGTTTTTCACTAATCCCCGGAGAAGGAATATGAACTTGGTTGTAGATTATCAGAGATTTTGCATCAAGGATCCAGCCTGACTGTCTCATGGCAACATTATGGCGCTGGTTTCTTCTTTTGGTGCTTTGGTGCCACTAGACAGCAGGTGTCACTGATTGTTACCACAGAAACAGAGCTCTCAGTTCAGAGTTAGCCTGGGGGGGTTGGTGGCTAACTTAAAAAAAGTCCACCTTTATTTTATTTCTAATCTAAGAGCAATATTAGGACTGACCTAAAACTACAGACCAAAATAAATATCTTTGTGAACCTGTCCCATGGTTATGCATGAGAAATATTTTTTTTGGTCTCCTTCTGCAATATATGTTGCAATAAAAGCATTACTGCAATATAGAAATACTTTGTTACAAGTAAAAGTGCATTCAAAACAAGAACAAAAGTATTAACATCAAAATATACCTAAAGTACACATTATGTACTGTATACCAATGGCCCATTTAGGAACATTATTCATGTAAACATCACTCCAGTGTTTAAAATTTTCGCTGTGGGTGGAGTGGAAAATTACCAGTGGAGTAGAAGTATTAAGTAGCCAAAAATACTGAAGTAAAGTTCAAGTACTGTATCTCAAAATTGCACTGAAGTACAGCACTTGAGTAAATTCACTTAAAAGTTACTTTCCACCTCTGACAACAAGCTTGTCCCTGCATAGTTGTTTATAAGAAACGTTGATGAAGAATCTCTTCCAAATTCAAAATCCTGATGTCAATTGCAGTATTTTCTGCAGTCATACAAAAATGTAGCTGCTTTGGAAATATTTGGTGTGACCTCAGGATATCTATGGACAATGTGCAGTTACTGTTACTGTGTGATTTCAAGAGTTATTTACAAGTTAGCTGTTCTGCTTCTGCCAACTTGACATAGTTTGGGTGATAGCTGGATTTGACGTGTTGTTTGGGAGAAATCCTTTCTTCACTGAGCAAAACTGTATACTTATTTGAGGTATTTTTATCTGTAAAGGAAATAATTACTGAACATTAACACCATCTCCCTTTGCATTTCCTCACGATTTTGAGCAATAATTGGCAAAGTACACACATGCAGTTTCTACTGCACCACCTCAATCAAGCATAAACAAACACGTGCAAGTACATATCCCTCCACTCTCCGGTTCTCCTGGCTCACTGGCAGTAGTCGAGAGAGATCCTGGGAGGCAGAAAGCGGGAGTCTGTCTGCGTACATAAACTGAGCTCCCATGAGGCTCATTATGCTTCACGCTTTTCTCCGTCCATAACGACTCCCCTGGCTGCCACCCATGGCAGCTTTACCCCAAACCAACAGAGCCCCTGAAGAGATTCATCTAAATGACTCATCAGATCGAGACTCATGACCAGCAGGTGTCTGAGACCATCTGGGGCTGGATCAGTGTGGGCTCATGCTTGCTGCAGTGAACCTTAGTTGAATATGTGCCTGATGCGACTATAGGTGTGTGTGAGATACTGCTAATCTCCATTTCTTGAAGAGATCACCGGCTACGTGGGTGTCCATGTTACTAGGGAAAATGTTCTGCTGTATCAGACATGATGCATCATGTTGCTGGAAGTAGATTGCTTGAAAGGGTGAAGAAAAAGGTGAGTCAAGATAGATTGAGTGTCTTTAGCATCACTATGGGACAGTATTCATGAAATGAAGTGTGATAAGATACAGAAGTAAGTACATGTGTCAAAAATGCAACACTTCTGCTGGTGTTTATTCATTTGTGCTAATAAGTAGAGTTTCATAAAACTTACCATCTGCATCAGAGCAGCTGAACAACAAAAGCTCTGATCAGTCCATGTCAAAACAATGCTGAATCCAGCCTTGGCTAAAAGCCCCTCTCTAAAAATACCCTCCAGTCATGCAACATAAATGAGCGCATGCTCGTGGCTTTACTGTCAAGAAAAGACGCCCAAGGAGAGTGTTTTGACACCGACAGGCTTCCCGTTCTCAGCAGAGACATGAATAACTAACAGGCCCCTGCTTTTAGCATTGT